GGCCTTCTGGCAGGAAACTACGGCCGCAGCTCGACAGCACGGGGGCGTCGCAGCGTGCCGCCGCCGCGCTGCCCCCCGGGCACGGCGGCGGCGGCGGCAGCAAGCTTGGGCCCAAACGCCGTGCCGCCGAGTCCCGTGGCTGCGACCGTAGACCGTGGGCCGGAAACTGCGGCCGCAGCTCGGCGGCACGTGGTTCTGTTCAAATCGCCAAGCGTGCAGCAGCGCCGAACCACGCTTCCCGGCCTCGGCGCATGCCTTCAGGGGCCCCCTATCGCTGGGCACACCCCTCCAACACCGAACATGCGCCCGGGGGGGAGGGCGGCCCGGGCTGCCCAGGCCAAAGTGGGCCGCCCTCGAGCAAGAGGCGGCCGGTCTGTGTGCTGAATGAATGAATTAATGAATGCAGCTTAACATGAATGCCTGCTTGTGTGGGCTTACAGTCTGGTTTCAGCAAGAACAAGCTTGCAGCACAGACTTTGTTGTTCGAGCAAGGAGGGATGAAGCAGTAGAACAACAGGCAGGACAGGCCAACTGACAGGTCACCGAGCGTTTAGTGTGTGAGCGGGCAGGCAGTACTGCATGTCGTGGAGCAGGTGTGGTGCGGTAAGAGCAAAGGGGGTGGACATGAGAGTGGGGGTTCAGGGCGGGACTGCAGGCAGCGCAACGGTGGCGGTCAGCCAGCGCTGGTGACAGGCGGCAGCAAAGGCGGCGAGGCGGCACGGTTTCTGGCGGAGGAAGCGGTGGGGAGGATGGGGCTCAGCAAACAGGTCAGGGAAGTTGAGGCGCAGCGGGGCGTAAAGGGGGCAGGTGAGCAGCATGTGGGGGGCATCTTCAATGCCGTCGTGGCAGTGGGGGCAGACTCGCTGCTCTCGGGGGCGCCGCGTCCAGCGGCCGGTCTCTTCCGCGCCCCAATGCGACCCGGTGCGCAGCTGCGCCAGCGCCTCGCGGTCCTGCCGACGCCGTACTGCATCCAGGTAGGTCTCGCGCTGCCCAAACATGGCGGGCGCCAGGTTGAGGGCGCCCACCACGTTGTGCACATAGTGCTCCAGCCGAAAAGCGATTCATCATGCCCAGGATGGCGGGCAGCACTTTGAGAAAGATACGCAGCACCAAGCTCGGCAGGATGGCAGTCACGACGGCATTGAGCACTGGCACGCTGGCGAACCAGGTGGTGACGCTGTTCAGTGCCAGCAGCGACTACGGCAGAGTGATTAGGCGCATCAGCTGTCAATCCCACAGCCACTTGAAGACGAGAGTAAACTGAGTGCTGCACCGCACCTGCACTGCCGAGACAGGAATCATGTAGAACAGCGCCAGTGCCACGAATGCGCCCCACATCAGCAAACTGCGGGCGCTGCGCTCCCACATGCGCCAGCTGCAGGCAGGGAGCACATACGGCATCATGCTGCTGACATCTGGAGGCACATGGGACTGAGAGAGCTCCACCAGCAGGGCAGGCTCCCTGATCCTGGGCTACACGCACCCCAAGTTGGCCCACACCACCTCCCCTGGTGCAGGTGCTGGATGACAGCGCCAGGCAGCCATGTTGTGGTGCAGCAGAGAGGTGGCGGCAACAACCTATATTGCAGCAGGGGGCGGCAACTAAGACTGCTAGCAAAGCCACCCAGTCGCCAGATTTGCAAGACTGCTGACAGATGCTGGGTGGCCCACCTGCGCCTTGCGAGTGCGGAAGGTGACAAAGCAGGAAGGCACCGCCTTGTGCATCGCCGCCTCCTGTTCCTCGGCAATCAACTGCCGCAGGTGGACCAGCCGGTCCCTGTAGAACTGAAGGGCGTCCACACGTGCTGGCTTGGCGCACTCCCAAAATCGCACTCCCACAACCGTGATCTGCAGCAGATCGGGGCGGCCAGCAGGATGGTCAGGCCCGAAGGCATGCAGCCCCAAGCTGGAGCTCAACTGGACTCAATCTGGCAGCCACCCACCTTTTGCGGCTTTATTTCACGATTGCGCCGCTTGAGCCACAGGTAGTGGTCCATCAGATCTGTGGCCTGGCGCATCAGGGATTCGTGTTCAGCCAGCAGGGGGTCCAGCTGGCTGGTGTCCCGCACGAGAAAGGCCTGCAATGGCAAATGGTACAGGAGGGGAGCGTACATAGGTGGGTATCACAGACGCAGGTAAGTTGCCAAGCTGCATGTGCCTAAGGCACATCAGCAGCATGCACGGCTCGCAGACAATGCTCGCCGGCCTTGTCGGCTCGAGCATGCTGCAGGCCACGTGGTGTCGCCGGCAGCCCAGCCTCACATGCTCAAAGTCATTGCCAAATGTGCGCATCATCTGGTTGTCCACCACGTTCTGGATGGTGCTTCCTCCCTCCAACTGGCGCAGTACCTGCAGGCTCGGAAATGAAGCACGATACCTGCTTCTTGATGATTGTCGCTCACAGCCCCCCAGCAGCAAATTCCAGAGGCTTCACAGCGGTGGTGACACCCACCTGCTGCCAGGAGTCCTCTCGTGTCCTCGCCCCCACCTTCAGCTTCTGCGGAATGTCAGGCCTGCCTGCTCCGATGGTGAAGTCGCCGCTTGCAGGCTCTGCTCTCATGCTGGCACCTGTCACGCCCTTTGCAGCCGTGCCCAGCATCCGGCCGGTGCCCATCTTGAGCCCGCTGCCCACAGTCTTCACGCCGGTAACCGCAGCTCCAGCCAGCCACATCTTGATTCCTGCATGCACAGCAGGTCACGTGGGTGTAACCCATATGTTTACGGCAGCAATCAGGGAGCATGCTAGTTCACAAGGCAGTCGTGGGCAAGGGTGGCAGCTGCCCACGTTGTGGCAGGAAGCGGAGCAGAGTGTTGCCAGTCCAATGCAGCACGGTGCCACAGGCAATGCCTGGGATGTCAGTCACGAGCACGGTATACGACTCAGCGCCAGGTGGGCTGTTGAGCAGGTAGTAGATTCGCAGCCTGCACAGGTGCACAGGCGCAAGGTGGTGGGAGCACGCAGTTCATGTTGAAAGGCATAGCAGGAAGCGTGGGTGGCTGCCTGACATGAGGTCAGACGAAGCCCCAGCGCCTGCTGTTGCCAGGTGTTCCAATGAGCATCTGGCGCTCCATCCCACCCGACGGCCTCCTGGTTGAAGCGGTGGAGCAGGCGCAGCGCAAACAGGGTGACGGCCCAAACTACCACTGCGTGCGCGTAAAGCCGGGCGCTGCCCGCCTCGATGTTGGCCATGGTGGTCTTGTCCAGATCGCTGAAGCGGTACTCGACAGACTGGTAATGCGCATCGTATCGCCAACCATATCTGCGCAGCACCAATTGAACAAACCTCATGTCGCTGGTTAATGTTCCTTCCGTATTAACCATGTCCCAATCTTGTGAGCAGCTTCCCTTGCTAGCAAGACAAGCAGGCTGCTCTCCAGCCACACCTGGAGAAGTTGGGTCCCAGCACCTCTTCAGGCGACGGCAGCAACAACACGTCTGGCTTGTACTCCCACCACTCGAGACCAGCAGGGGCCGGGGGGATGTCGGCTTCGTAGAAGTCAGGGGGCTGCATCAGTTGGCAGGACGAATGGGGGCGGTTGCTTGCCTGTGCATGTTCACATGCTCAAACGAGGCAGCATTTGCCTAAACAAGAAGGGCAGCAGACACTCACTGCCCAGCAGCAGCTATTACCACGAGGAGGAGGCCCATCCTGCTGCGCACCTCTGTCACTTTTGGCTGCGTGTCCTGCACGGACAGCACCTCCCCATCCTCTTGCGCTGCCGGGGGGCCTGGCGGCGGAAGCCAGTACGTGAACTGCGAGGCAGGCGCTGGGGCCTCCTGTGCCGCCATAAGGCGGTTGACCTGCGGTTGCAGGCCACAGGAGGCACGCGCCAAGCCGACTTTTGGTGATGCACATCAAACATACAACGACAAAACTAGCGCCACTGATGGGCAACTGCATGTGCTGCTGCTCTGTCGCTCATCGATCAGCCCACCTGACCGCCAGTGCAGTTGATGGGCAAGATTATGGACATCACTAGCAGGGAGACACCCAGGAACAGCTGCATGCCAAAGCGGACGATTTTCCTGCGCAACCCACGGGAGGGCCAAAAGCGTGTTCATACTGCGCGAGCACTGCCTCCAGCACCAGGGATGCCACAAGAGGGGCATCACCATTCACTCACAGATACATGAGGGCATCCACTCCCGCAAAGAAGATGACCGACTCGTCTGGCGCCTCGATTGTTGTTGTGATCCATGCCAGCGGGTTGCGGGCCCGGATGTGCTTGGGCTTGGGCTGCAGGATGGTGCCAAGTGGTGTGGCGTGGCGCTGGTCAGCAGAATTTTTACCTTTGTGGGGAAGCGGGGTGAGAAGAGCTGGTTAGCTGCCCACCCCTGCTTTGAAGGCCTTAGGCGAGTAGAAGCGCTTGGCCCAGGGGGCGCGCCGCCACCAAGAGAAGGCCAGCAGGATGCCGACGCATGTACCAACATAGATGGCCAAGGCGATCAGAAAGGACTTGCCGGTAGTGGCCTGCAGAGCGGCGGGTGACGGGCAGGCGGCCGAGCGGGCGGCGCAGAGCGCTCTGCACACGAAGCCCAGAGCCTCTTGGCAGCCACCTTCCTCTAGTGCATTGTTGCCTGAGCAGGCCAAACTGGCGCTGGCAGCCCCCCTGGCCGCCCCACCATTTTTGTTGCTCCCAGCCTCCGCTTCAGGCCTTCCTGGGTCGGCTGTGGAATGCTCTGCTGCAACAAAACGTCCTCTGCCAGTGGCCAGCTCGAAGCCATGCAGGTTGGAAAGGACAGAGCGCCAGCTGTCCCCATCCTTATTTTCCTCTTTCTTTAGCTTTACAACTTTCTCAGGAGCTTTTGAACTTTGCAAAAGTTACGGGATGACTTTCTCCTCGCGCAGGCGCTGGAAGAGCGAGGCAAACATGGCGTCGCTGTCGATGCACATGGCGTGGAAGCCGGTGCGCCTCAGCTTGTTCACAGTAGAGAACCAGGAGGCAGGATAGGTGAACACGAAGTCGACAAACTGCCAGGTCGCCAGCTGGTTGTACGGCGTGTCCTGAGGCCAGCGGCAGCAGCAGGGCAGCACAGTTGATGGTCGACTTTGCTGCTGCACCTCTGCCATCTCCTGGGCCGGCGCTTCTGTTGCCGCTGACTCAGCTAAGCGCACACACACCTGCAGCCCGTGCTTCTTGACCAGCGCGGCCCACACCTCGCCCTTGTCCGCCATCACCTGCTCACCAAGTGTGACAGATGTGTGGGTCGCCGCAGCTTAGCACCCGCTGCGCCACAGCAGATGCACCCGTTGCACCTGCTGCCCCTCGCTGGCTCGCACTTGCCTGCACCAGAGGGGTGTGGACTGGGGGCGCAGTGCCCATCTCGAAGAACTCTGCAAACCGCGGCCACATCTGCAGCGGGCGAACGGTTCCGTTTAGTAGGTTGCAGGGGGTGCAGCAGGCGGGTGGAGCATGGCAGCGCCACCACCCCCGGCTGTTGCTGCTGACGCCTTTGCTCACATCCTTCCAGCGAAAGCAGTCCCCGTTGCAGATGTTGAAAGCCTGGTTGGCACAGGCAGGGGTGGTGGCGCAGTGCAGCATGCCCTCCGCCAGCAGATCCGCATCGGTCACATCAACGAGCGAGTCCCAGGCATCCACGGTGCCCGGAAACCTGCAGGTCCAGGCAGACAGCAGCAGACGCAATGTGACCGTCATTGTGATGTGACATGTGACATGGCCTGCCATGACGTGGCCTGCCACTGCGAGCTGCTGCAGTAGCCTTCTCAGCGCCGGACAGGCGTGACCCACCTCAACGGCAGGCCCATCTCCTTGCAGATGCTGGCGTACATGGCCAGCGAGGTGGAGAGGTTCATGAAGGAGCCGGTGCTGCAGCAAGGGCACAGCCAAATTCAAGCTTTTGGCAGTGCATGCAGCTGCCAACTGTTGCCCCAACCAGGGCAGCCCGGGCTGGCTGACCTGAACCCGCACACCGGGTTGGGGCGCAGCGCAGACCAGGTCCAGGGTGCGCCTTGCTCCACCCGCTGCTCCAGGTACCTCTGCAGCTCGTGTGCCAGGTGCAGGTCAAGGGTAGCGTCAGCGTCGAAACTGCTGGGGCGCGTGATCAGCAGCCCAGGACCAAGTCGTCGCACCACAACCCTCGCTGCCCATCCCGCTGCGCCCAATTCCCGCCCCACACAATGCCTGTAGGTCAAAGTAAAACATGGGAGGCATGATGGGAGGATCATCCTCCCGATGCGGCGTCTTGAGTGGCGTGCTCAAGTGCTGGCCGTACCACTTGCCGCCCTGCATGGGGACAGGTCTTGCTTGGTCCATTGAAGTTTCAGCAAGGGTATACCCACTGAGCCCGGCCCACCTCCATGCAGAAGACGTGCTGCAGGTGTGCGCCAGCCGCCTCTGCGGCCTCCACCACATTCTTCAGCATGGATAGATTGACCTGTGGAGTTAGGGTGGCAGACAGCATAGCTTGCAGTAGTGGCAGTGTGCGACGGGCGAGCAGGCACAGCATGCGGGGCAATGCACCTTTGTGGGGGCAGCTGGGAGCTGCTAGGACATCTTCCCAGCCCACCTCGCACTCTTCCTTTGGCGCCTTCTTCATGAGGTATGCGCAGTGGAAAACGTGCGTCACGCTCTCTGCACCCGCCTGCCGCAGCGCCGCCTCCACGGCCCCCTTGTCCAGCAGGTCGGCCTTCACCTGCCGCGCACGTGCATAGGCAGCAAACAGAGAATCCACAGGACGAGAAAGAAACCAGCAGAGGCGACGGAGCGGGTGGCAGCCAACCAGGAGTCGCCCAGCACCTGCCTACCAGCGGGACTGGTGCCTCGGAGGCGCACCTGCTGCACCTGGTCTGTCGCGCCCTCGCCGCCCAGCTGCAGGTCGCGCCGTGCCAGCGTGATCACACGCCACTCCTCGTTGCGTTTCAGGCAAGCATGGACGCAATGCCTGCCGGTGATGCCCGACGCGCCAGTCACCAGTGCCACTCTCGCGCCGCCTGCCTTGGACGACATAGCGCTGGTCGAGCCCAACCACAAAAACGGCAGGGAGTGGCCTGATCGCCTGCTGTTCCTAGTGCAGTCACGGAAAGCGATCCAAGGTTCAATATAACTGTGCAGGAAAGTGCGGTACCCTTGGATCGTACTGCGCTGTTAGCAGCCGAAGGCAACAAGCACATCTAGTCAAGCAGCACCAATCAGTCAATGACCTTAGGCTGCACCTTGCGCCGCTTGCCGGCAGCCGATTTGTTGCTCGGCCCGGCGTCATCTGCCGCTGCCCCTGCTGCTGCCGCATCCGCTGCTTTGCCACCCTGCTTGCTGCTGCGCTGCTTCTGCTTGGCCCCTGCCGGCGCCATCGCCTTGAGTTTGCTCGGCGGCACCTTGAGGTCTGCCAGCGGGCAGTCGATGCCGCCACGGCTCTTTGCCGCCGTCGTGCCGCGCTGCTTGGCGCTGCCCGCCTTGGCACAGGCGGGGCACTGCTTGCCATGTCGCACCAGCAGCACATGGAGGTCATATTTAAGCTCGTCTGCAGGGAGGAAAGAGGGGGCAGACAGCCGCACGTTGTAGGGCAAGGTAGGACGGGAGGAAGGAGAACGTTAGTCAGCACGCCACTCCCCTCCTCTCGCTCTCCTCCCCATTCACCAGGCACCAGCTCGTTCATGTGGTCGTAGGCTTGGTCACGGGTGGCGTTCACGGGCACCCAACCCAGCGCTTTGCTGATCTCCCACACGTGGGTATCTACGGCAAACTCTGGCAGCTGCATGCAGGGCATGGAAATCGAGGCATTTATGCCGACACCGGTGCGGCCAGGCGAGAGGAGAGAATGAGGCCGGCGGTTGCCGGGACCGCGGCAACGGTTCGCGGTGACCTTCTTAGCCGTGGCAGAGGCCACACGGCCCTTGCCTTCCCCCCCCCCCCCCCCCAAACCAGCCTGCCGCTCACCACTTACGCACCTCGAGGGCGAACAGCAGGACGCACGCCGCCGTCTTCTTGCCCACGCCCTTGAACCGCGACAGCTCTGCCTTGGCGGCTGCCGCCGGCAGCCCGCGCAGGTGCTCCAGGCTGCACTCACCACGCTCTGCTGCCAGAGTGGACAAGATAGCCTGGATGCGCCCCGCCTTGATGTCTGCCAGGCCGCCCACCTGCTCGCGGAACGGCATGGCGCTTGATGGCGGACAGAGGGCAGGCGCACCCAGCGGCAGGCAGGCTGGGAGAAGAGGCACCAAGAGCAGCGGCTGGACAGCAATGTGGGCAACCCATGCGCAGGCAGGCGAGGCCACACCGCACTTGCAAGAGCCAACTGACGCGGCCCTCGCCCATCCTGTGGCAATTCCTCACCCGAATGGCGTCGGCCACAGCGGCCAGCGGAGCCGTGCGCACCCCCTCCCAGGTCGGGAACCGCTCCTTGAGCGTGTCAAAGGCGCGGCCCGATGTGGCATCGGTTGTGTTCTGGCTCAGCAGCGTGCGCACGACGCTGTCCAGCACGCTGCGCCGCTCCTCGCAGCCCACTTGCGGGCCCTGGTGCCGCACCGCCGAGGGCCAGCCGTGCATCGCCGCCAGTCGCTCTGCCACCAGCTGCAGCGGGCCAGAAAGCGGGGGGAGGGGAGGACTGGCCGAGGTGATCGCGAGGGCCAGCGTGGGGCAGCGAGGTCGCCGCCGCGCCACTAGCAGCGGGTGGCGGCGGGGGCGCCTGCCAGGCGGTCAGCCAGTGGCAGCCAGTGGATCGCGCTCGCCTTGCATGCTGCCGCGCTTGGAGCTGAGAGTGAGGGGTAGGGCCCCAGGTATGTCCGAGCAACATGGCCATTCATTGATTCGTGTGGTTCCTCCTTGATCGCGGTCTGCCGGTGGTTCCGGCTGCTTGCCAGACGAAAGACGTTTGGTACGCTTGTTCCTTCTGCTGCATGAGTCCACCCGCCGCCACGTCAGCCGGCGGACAGTTTTGGGCGCCGCAAGAAGTTTGCTCGTGTTGAGTGGATGACAATGAGTGTTGATTGAGGTAAATTGAATCCAGTAAAGACCAGCCTCCCCGGCAGAGCTTTTCTGGGCCGCACACCATCGCCTGCTGCCGTTGGCGCTGATATGGCAGCTAAACTGCTGCCGACCGCACGCTGCGTTTGGCGGCAGCCACCGACACAGGGAAGAGCTGAGACCCATGACATGCAAGTTGTTTCAAAGTGACAGTTTCATCCAATCCAGTGAAGCCTGGCTGCACGGCATGTCCACTCAAGCCAGAACGGTGGATGGCGGGCGTCGCCGTCGGTGCGCCCGTTCTGGCCGCCCACCCCGCTCCTGGGCACCCTGCCCGCTTCATCCCGGCGCCTCCTGCGTCAGATAACATATCGGGTTTAACACAACGCACGCTGTGGTCACCAAACCCGCCCCCGTGCTCAGATGGAATGCCTACCATTCAATCCTGCAGTAGCTGCACTTGCAGCTGCTGCAATGTAGTGCAGCAGTACCGCCGCTCTCTGGCATCCCTCGCGTTGCTGGGCGTACTGCTGGGCGTTCTCAGCTGCCTTCCGGCTGCAGACTGCCTTGGGAGAGGCCGAAACCCAGCACCTGGGCCCCCCTCAGCCGCATGACAGCCATGGCCTTGCCGGGCCTCATGAGAGGCCCCTCCGCGCGGCTGATCATCATGCTGGGCTGCCTGTTGAAGCTCAGTAGTGCCGGTGAGCGATGCAGACGACAGCATGCAGCTTTGCTGGCGACTGTGCAGGGGGCAGCTACCACCGCAGATAGGGAGCCGCCATCAGCTGCAGCCCTTGACCCTCAATGCCCAGCATCCTCACCTTCGTTCCCTTCCCCCTTCTGTTGGCTGCAGCTGGGGACCAGCTGTGAGGCACTGTTGTGGCAACATCTGTAGTGGCAAGCTTTGCTGATGCCTGCCCCCATCCCCGCAGTCAACCGCCTGCCAAACGCATCCCCTCTCCTGCAGCCTTGTGCGCCAGGGGGAGACGGTGGCGGTGCAGTCCAGTACACTCCAGGGAAGCAGCCCCTTAATTCCCCTCGTCGGTGCTGACGCTATCTTTGCTATCGACGGCACCCCCGGTCAGTTTACTGCCATGCTCCCTGGCGGCTAGCACCTAATACGGTCCGCTCATGCCAGTAGGGGCTGATTGCAATGGGGCTCTGCTGCCCCCCCAGGCTGGTCCGACGGCTACTGTTCCAGCACCGATGGCTCTGAGCTGCGGCCCTGGCTGTACCTGGACCTTGGTGCCAGTGACACAATCCACTCCATCACGATTGTCACTCGCGAGGACGTGGGTGAGCTAGATGCAGCATTGAGCAGCGCTCTGTCACCCCAATTTGGGACGATATCCCCAACGCCCAGACCATCCTCTAGAGATCTCCTCTGCTGTGCAGGCGGACTGCACGATGTGCAAATCCGTGTGGGCAACACGCTGCCAACAGAGGGCCTCTCTGGCGATGCAGTCCTCTCCACCAACACATTGTGTGACACCTACATCGGGCCTGCTGCTGCCGACCCCAACAACCTTGCAGTGGTCAACTGTTCCGTGCCGCTGATTGGCCGTTACGTCTCGTTTCAGGTGGGGCAGTTGTTGGGAAGCTGGGAAAGCGTCAGCGGCAGTCGGCATCCCATTTCATTTGCAGCTTGCGCTGCTGCAGCATTGTTGCCTAGCTCGCCCATGTTTCCCTGGTGCGCAGGTTGCCAGCGACGCTCTGCCAGGAGACAACCTGTTACAGATCTGCGAGGTGCAGGTGTATGGAGACAGGACAGGTGGGCGCCTTGGTCTTCGTATGCCCTGTGCTGCTTGTGTTGCCATCACGGGGTGCGTTGCACGCCATGAATTGTTCGCTCTTGGGTTGGCACCTGCCGCCACATTGCAGCTCGCCCGACTGGGTCTACTCGCAACATCGCCGCGGGCGAGCCAGCCCAGCAGAGCAGCACCAGCAATGTCACTGGGCCAGGCTACTCCTCAGTTGGCGCTGTGGATGGCCAGACGGACGGCAACTGCACCGAGAGCCCCTGCGCCATCACTAGCGGACTGGAAACACACCCATACTGGTGCGCCTTTTCCCTGCCTGCCTGCCTGCTGCCCCTGCACCCCCCGCTGCCTGCCTGCAGGTCTCGCGGGGAACCTGCGCTGGATCTTGATGCTGATCCGGTCAAGCCGCTGCCAGGACCATTCACACAGGATGACGCTTCCCCAAGGCCTCCTCATGCCTTTCCGTCAGCAGCCCACCATTGTGCTCGATACCCTGCCTGCCTGACACGCGCCCGCTGTGCCGCGAGCGCAGGTGGGTGGACCTGGGCGTCGACTCCATTGTCGAGAAGCTGGTTATTTACAACAGGCTCGATTGCTGTGCCTTCAAGCTGCAGTACCTGGTGAGGGGCTGTGCCCGCTTGCAGGTCGCCGGCGGCCATCCGTGGCATGCTCGGTGTTGGCCCGAGGCATGTGTCCTCCCGCCTTCTTGCACGCAGGTGGTAAGGCTGGGCGACAGCCAGCCCGCGCCCGCTGCGCCTGGCGCCGTGCTCACCACAAACAGGGTGTGTGGCATGTTCCCAGGCTTCGTGAGCGGCATCCCCGACGTGCAGGCAAGTGGGGATGGACTGCAGGAGTGTGGGGGTCCAGGGCAGGGGTAAAGACCGCTGCCAGTTTCCTTCTGTGCTGCTGGCAGGCTGCTGCTGCCCTGGTGCTCATGTGTTCCCCGGCTGATGTGCCCACCAACCTCCCTAATTGCGTGCTGCGCTGGAGGGGTGGCGGTCATGTGCAGGATGTCGTGCCCATCACGTGCATCGGGACTGGGCGGTACCTGTCGATCCAGAGGCTGACGTTCCCGTTTGAAGGCGAGGGCGACCGGGTATTGGCGCTCCCTGAAGTCCAGGTGCTTGTTGTGGCTTGGGATCGGTTGCTCCTGCGCAAAGAGCATTGTCCAGACACAACTGTTGAGTGAGGCGATGTAGCATGCCCACTGCAGGTCTTTGGGGACACCACCACCCGCCCAACGAGCCCGCCGCCCCCCTTGCCTTCTTCGCCATCTCCCCCCCGGCCACCAAAACCTCCTCCTCGGTAGGGAGCTGCACACCTTTGCAGTACCAATGTCAGCAGCCCTGTTGTTCGGCAGCGCTACTCGCGGTCAGCTCTACCTCGACGTGCTGCAAGTGTGCTGCTGGAGCCATGCCTGCCCAGCCCGACGCCTGTGGGAGCAGCACACCCTCCTGGCTATCCGGCCTGTACTGAATCCCTGCCATCAAAGACTGCCGCGACATCGAATCCCTCCCATCTCATACCCATTTTGTTCCACAGGCCACGACCCCCAAGTCCCAACCCACCGCCGTCTCCCCGGCCACCTCCTGCCATCCCGCTCGTCAGGTAGGGGGCTTTTTTACGGGCTTCGAGATCAATTGCCCTCCAAGATGTTCCTCCCATATCCACATGGCCAGACATACATCCTCTGCGCCATGCTGTTGTGCCTTTGCCGTCATGCTGCAGTTTGGTCCGCCAGGGCGAGACATTGGCAGTCCAGTCGTCCACCTACATGGGCGACACAGGCTCCGACCTGCCTTACCTGGTTTCCGGCGCAGATGCAATGCTGGCAATCGATGGCATTGCAGGTCTGCCTGCCTGAATGCCATGCTGACCTGGTCGCCTGGCCGCCAGGTGCTGCCTTCTCTCCCGCCCTTGCTGCCTTCCATCTGGCTCGCCTGACGCCTGCTGCGCTGCAGGCCCCTGGTCCACCCGCACGTGCAGTGCCACAGGCGGCTCCGAGCTGCGGCCCTGGCTGTATCTGGACTTTGGGCAGGGCAACCAGGACACGGTGTATTACCTGGAGCTCAGCACACGGACGGATTTTGGTGAGGGGTGGTGGAAGCTGCTCCAGCGTCGCATATGCATTACCATGCAACATTGGATGGACAGCGCTGCGTTCCCCACCTGCCTGCAGGCGGCTTGCACGATGTCACCATCCGCGTTGGCAACACGCTGCCCAGCAGCAGCCCCACCGCCAACCCAGTGTGTGGCTCCTTTGCGGGGCCTTCCACCCCAGGCCAGGTTGCCACCGTGTGGTGCACCGCGCCGCTCCAAGGACGCTTCGTCTCCCTTCAGGTGGGAGCAAGACGGGAGGTGCCTTGGCTGGTATTCCTCCAAGCTGCTCTGAGCCAGCCTCGCCACTGACTCGCTCCAGGACCCCCTCCCGCCACCCACGTGCAGGTCACTGCTGGGGCCAATGCCGCCCTCAACAGACTGCAACTGTGCGAGGTGTGGTGCTGTGGCTTGCACTATTGCACTACATGCATGAGTCCCACCGTTCTGTGACAGCCGGACACAGCTCTTGTGCTCAGCCCCCCCCACACACACACACTCCCGCCGCCCCCGCAGCTGGATGTCTTTGGCGTACGGGGAGGTGGGCAGCAACAGAACTGCAATCCTGCCCGCTCAAGGCTGTGTTAGAGACAGTGCCCCGGTTCGTGTGTTGAGCTGCTGACGTTGCTATCATTCCCCATCTGCTGGACCTGCCTTCCATTTGCAGCCCGCACA